ATAAAATACAAGAAAATATTTCCTTTAATATATAAACAAAACAGTTCAGTATGTTTTTTATATATTTATGTTATCCAGCTACAATTTATTGATTTTCAAAATACACACACAATATTTAATTTATTGGCGTCGTGAGCCGCGAGGGCCGAGGACAAAACTCAAAATGAATAGAATTGCTTAACTACTTAACACTACGTGGTTGCACAAATCGTTGCTGTTCACGTCCTATTACAGTAAATATGAAATAGTATAGTGTAGGCCTACAAATAATTCAAGAAAGCGCAAATAATAATTAATTGTTTAGTTCATAACACTCAATTTGTACGAAATCACTCTCTCCCCCCCCAAAAAAACCTTTTAAAACCTGCCCAAAAAATCCCACCAAAAACATTTTTATGACGCACTCTGCGTCATTTCCCTATAGGAGCGGGCACCCCGCCTGCCCCCTAGGTAGCCTAAATAAGTGTTCACAATCTGAGTTAACAAAAACTGACTGTTATCAAGTTAAGTGGTAACAGTTGAATTTCGTTTCCAAATTAAATGGAGGATGATACAACCATTTTACGGTGTTTTCAAGGAACCAAAAGTGTCTCGTCCTCTGCATCTTGGACCCATTGAAAGGCACGGGTGAATGTTAAATCTGATAATGATTTCAACAGGATCACCTAAATTAAGTGCAAGCAAAAAGATACTACTACACAGACATATACTAAGATAATGTCGGTCCTGATCCTAATAATTACTCACCCAGTCACCCAGTAAAGAGCAGCCTGACTGAATAAAGTTGATAATATCAAAAATTTAAATAAAAAGTTTTTGAAAGGTGGGCGAAAGAAAGTCTGTGATTTATAGAAGATTTCATGCGCCTTTGTTTTTAATTAGAGAATTCAGATAAATTATCACACTATTAACATTGTACACTGCTCATATACTTGTTAAAAATATCTATATATTATAGGCAAGCGAGTTTCTTTAACAACTTTTTTTCTCAGCTCGTGTGTATCGCAGGGAAAACTACTCATACTGTTGGAAAGATATTTTCCTGTAGAAGTGCAGAATCCCTTCGTAAATTAAAATAGGCTAAAAATTTTTTTTAAATGAATTTAAAATTTAAAAAAAATTAACATGGACCTTATGGGTTGCCATGCTGGTGACGAAATAACAAAGCAATAAACATAAAATCAAAACAAATAGATGAAATTCAATCACATGTTTTATTTTCAGTGTAGGGTCAAAATAGACAAGTCTGAACATTACATATTTTTGGTCGAGTTTTCGACCACTGGAAGACCTCTAGTTAACATTAATACACTGCTCCTATACGTGTTAAAATATATTTTATATTGATTATGAGAACAGCTAAAACAGCCATAAAAGTGTGGACGCCTATCTAAAAAGAATTCTTCCGAAATAATTCTTGAAAATGAAGATCATGAGCCAATCAGTGACCCCAAAGAAGTGTCTAACAAGCTAAATACATTCTTTGCAGACATAGGGGAAATTCTTAACCTCTCCTCCAATAACTTTCCAAATTCACAAATGATTAACATCAGCCCCATGTTTCTATATCCAACAACTGAGGAAGAGATCTTAGATACAATCAATAGCTTAAAAACAAGAAATCGGCTGGTGTTGATGAAATATCACCCTTCTTATTAAAAAAGGTTGCAATTTACATAGCAAAGCCCTTATGCCATTTAGTTAACGTTTAATGTTTGAGTGGTTCATTTCCCAATTCCCGAGGCACTTAGCAGGAAACCCACTGGTCCGACACTCTCCGACACGTCACCTTCCGTCAAGGCTCAGACACCTTCCGATAAAATTGCTTTGCATGTTTGCATGATTTTAAATGGACTGTAACCCACTAGTCATAGACACGACACCTTCCGATCTGACATGTAACGACAACATTGCTCTCTGGGGCATTCTTGTCGGATGTCGGATCCGTCATTTCTCCACTCTGCGTGCACCAGGCCTAGATTTTAGTCACTGTCTAGCTTTGTGTGCGATGAGTATCGACGAGCGGTTGATAGAAGCAGTTAGGGAGTATCCCTTTCTATATACAGTGAGCGAAAAAGGTTATTATGATAACCGGAAGAAGGACAACGCTTGGCAGGAAATAAGCGAAAAATTCGATAAGTGGACAGAAGAGCTACTTTAATTTTGGAAGTGTTAAGTTTAATTTAATTTTATAACCAAAATTTAGCTAATTATGCAGAGGGTTTTGTTTTATTTCTACATTGAGCAGAAAATATACTTCAAATTTGTAATTGTTTATGGTAATATTTTGCTTATTATAGTTTTGACCATGATAAAATAGTTTAACAATTCTAAAAATATAATTTATTTTCCATTGCTGATTAATGTTCAGAAAACCTTAAAATAAATTGTAAAAAATACCTATAATGTACATTGTCTTGAAAAATGTAAAAAAAATTATCCTTTAACATCAAATCCAACATTTTTTAAAATGAAAACTGGCAGTAGCCTACATATAAGGTTTTTAAGTTGTACTGAATCATAGCGCTATAGTACTTTTGGCCCTAGTTGAAGCCTAAAGTTGGCCTAGTTGTTTCATATTCCTACATATCAATTATAACTTTGTGTTAAATGAAACACACTAACCAGTATTTTAATTCAGCGAATAGTAAAAAAATTATAAAAAGAGTCACAATAACATTTATAATATTAGGATTGTTCATGTACTTACTTCAGGGTCAGGGAAAGACGCTCCTCAGGACCAATAACCTCTCGAAAGTTGCTATGTCTCACTGGAAATTTCAATATGTCAAGCAACTAATAAAACTTAGCTTGAGAAATGCGAAAATATAAAAAAAAACTTAGCATCGTCTTTCTTTAAATCATCGAACAAATTATGAAAGTCGCCGTACTCATTGCGTCTTTTAAATATGTTGTGTACCCAGAACCTGTTTCCTTCGTTTTGGTCTTTCGTCTTCAGCACACAATGCGGCTATCACAAACAACTCTTCGTCCGAAGAACTTTCCATCGTAACTGGCACTGTTGGAGTGATGGTGTATTTCTCGTCGGAGGCCTACTGTCGGAGCCCGTCGGACCAATGTGTTAGGCGGGTTACACACCGGTATCGCGGATATGATGTCGCCGATATTTCTGATGTCGCGGATATGATGTCTGCGACATGTAATAAAATGCAACCATGGGAAGAGGCACGTGCTGGCGACATGAAAGTGAAGGAATCACAATATTCATCAGTTTAAATAATGTCATCGTCAGAAGAAGATGATATGTTGTTGCTGTTGTTCTTTCTACAAAAACATTAAAGATAACTTCATGGTAATTTTTCCAAAATACATTGTAATTAATTGTATTACAGTACTTACGTAATTTCCTTATGGTGTCAATTGAAGTATTATAATATCACAATACTACATTCAACACCATAAGGCAATAAAGTAAGTAAAAAAGCGCCAAAACTACTAGAAACGTGTTCTGCGCATGCGCGGGCCCAAGAGACACGAGACATGTCTGTCCAAACACCGACCGGTTGGTTCGCTCGAGACACGCGTCTGCGACACGAGTCTCGGGCAACGTGTCTGCGACACTGGTGTGTAAAGCTCCATAAGATAACATAGGTTGGTTTTCGAGGGGCATGTCGCGGACACGAAAAATATCGGCGACATCATATCCGCGATACCGGCGTGTAACCCGCCTTAATGTCTTAAAATTGCGGAAGGTGTCGGAGAGTTGACGGAAGGTGTCGTGTCGGAGAGCGTCGGACTAGTGGGTTTCCTGCAAGGTCTCTGTAATAAGACCAATATTCAAAAAAAGGGTATCCTAAGCTTTGCAGTAGTTACAGACCAATAGCCGTTGTATCTGCCTTTTCTAAGGTATTTGAAAAGATCATGCTAAACAGGATATTGAATTTTCTAGAAAAAACATAAAATAATTTTCAAAAACCAACATGGACTTCTAAAGCGTAAATCAACCACATCAGCAATGTATAACTTAATAACTGAGGTGATACGATAACTAGACAATGGCAACTATTCGGTCGGTATCTTCTTTCATTTAACTAAAGCCTTCGATATGGTTGACCATTGCTTGCTGCTTAATAGAATTATTAAAGTTGGGGTGAGAGGACCGGCTCTGGACTGGGTTGACGCGTATACGCATCAAGATATCTTTGCGGCATGAGCCAATTTGTTGAAATAAGGGAAGTAGATGAGGCTGGTTGCATGAGATCCTATCCCTCTGCTGAGAAATCCATTGTGAGAGGTGTGCCGCAGGGCTCCGTTCTTGGGGCTGTCATTTTTCACCTTTTTATCAACAACATCCCCTCCTGCACCACATCCTCAAAAATATCACTGTTTGCTGAAGACACCTCGTGCTGTGGGAACTATTTTCTCTCTGCGCAAGCGTCAGTCCTGCAGAGAGTACTTTTTCAATTAAAAAATCTCGACTTTTCCCTCCATCTACATTCTAGAATCTTTGACTTTTTGAAACAAAACTTTTCTGATTTTGACTTATCTACTAAAAATCAATACACATTGCGCAATTTATTTAACTAGCCAATTCCTAAACACAAAACTTCTTTTTTCAAAAAACACACTTTGTACATTTGCATAAAGCTTTTTTTACTCACTTCCATTATCCCTTAAGTTGGAACAAAGCCTAAAAAAAACACAAAAAAAAAACAATTGAAACATAAATTGTGAATAACCTGTTACAGCATCCAAGAGTTCCTGAAATGTTTTGAAAGCTCTATAATTATTGTAAATATTAGAATTAGTAATTGCTGTATAGTATAGTTTTTTCTGCTGTTTTGGCCTGGCTAATGCAAACTGTATTATTATTACTTTGACCCCATAAAATGATTTGATTTGATCTTTTTAGTTTATTTTCGAAAATAGATTATCACAACAAGAGGAAAAATATATTATGTTGTAGGGGCTTCTTTCAAAGCGTTAACATCTAAATAATATTCAAACAAAATCTTACATAACCAAAGTAATAAATTCACTTAAAGTTTGTCATAATTTTATTGATTTATTAATTCGTACTCACTACGTAATTTGAAAAATAGAGGGCTATGAAATGGTACAGAATTTCTGTTAAGTACTCTTCAATATCAAGGAAATGAACTAGTTTTACCAATTTCAATCGTGTTATTGATATCTATTAATTGTGGAATGTACTCAGAAGGTTTTATGTTTGAATCAAAATCGTCTAGTTCTGCATAAAGAGTTCTTGGCGACTCCTTCACACTCACACATGAATGATTACCTGTAAAACAACTGTCCAGACCTTTGGTTATGCAAAATATCTGAAACGAAAAACAACATAATTTATACATATAATTCTTGATTGCGTGAAAATATTATAATGTATTTTGTTCTTACCATCCATGCAATCAGGGGTGATACTGCACTACGGCCGTTTCGGAGATTACTCCATCTTCAGATGCGTATACGGTAATAACAAAACATACTAATATAACATATATGCAGACACGAATCAATTAAGAGTAGTTTAAACGAGATATACCTTTAAATGATTTTGAGCAATGCTTTAAGGAAATTTCTCCAGAAAAAATAGCTACATTGCTGATGTCTTAATGGCAAGACATAGGTTCTAAACCACTATTGTATCTTATATTTTCTGGGTCCTCGGTATTAAAACACACGTAGATTTTTTTAATTGATACATAGGCAAAATGACTTTTTGAAATTTACTTTGAAAACTTGTACCAGTGGAGGTATCGAGTTTGGAAATAAAAGCCTAACTTCAGTTTGGTTCACACTTGAATGTTCGGTATAGCCATGAATCAATGTATACTTAGCCAACATAATAATTTACTCACATTACAACGTTTTATTATTTCCTGTTGAGTATTGCAAGCGTGGAGGGAATTCGAATTTGTCACTTTACTAATGTTTAAAGACTTTTTCTTTTTATCCATTTCTGGTTCCTTTTCTTCTAAAAAATACAAACAAATATAACAAATCGTATTTACATTAATTCTAAATTGCATCAAACTACGACTTTTAACAGTGCAATTTAAAATCTCTTCATACCCAAAGGGCTACCAGGTCTAACTAGCTTAAAATATTGGTACTCAAGGCTCTCTGGTTCTAATATCATCAATCAGACAATAATATAAATAAATTTTACAACAGTGAACTTGATACAAAATTGTATCATACATAGGGAAAAAGTTCATACGTACATACCGGTGCATCTACAGTCTTAAGTACATACGTAAAAGAAATATACATTTGTATTATATTTTTGTAAAAGTTACACATCTTGGTTAATTTTTTGCTAATGACATTGTTGTAATTTGTGAGACAATTTGGAAATGGCGTATTTAGACTATTTTGAGATTAGCAGCCAAAAGGAAAATGTTGGTTAATATTTCTGATGTCCAATTCAAGATTACCTTAGAACTTCAACGAAAAATTAATTTAAATTCCAAATCACTTAAGTTTTGTTTGACATAGAACTCCGTGTACATTATATAAAAATTAACATGAAATAGCCATCAAACGATAGCTTGAAATATCTAACATCATTATTGCTGTTAATCCTCAAGAAACAGAACAAAGTTGTAAGATTTTCACAGTTTTGACAAAGTTAATAAATTGACTCCTATTACTTACTTGACCAACCTTTAACTAAAAGTGTTTGCATAATAGATTGCTGATCTATCATCCGAAAAAGGCCTAAACAACGGTTTGTATGACTAGGAGCAGTGTTCTCGCAGTTAAAGTCCAGTGAAAGGTAATGTCGAGTCTGTGACAGCAAGCTAGAAGAGCTACTGGGCTTAATATCTTCCTCCATATCAGACCACCTTTACACAATAAAACTTGATCTTTTGACATGAATTCTATCTGACCATCTTAAATATTTACCATCAGCACTAAACCAGGCAAAACAGCTGCTCATAAAATTAACAACACAAAAATGTAACAATAAAAAATGTTGCACTATACATCGGTCATAATAATGGGTGCTTTAAGATTTCTTTCAATCCAAAAATGTTCCGCTATGCAACAGTTCCTCCTTTTTTGTCTAAATATTTTTTTATATCCTAGTTGACAATAGTGGAAGTGGAAGGAGAAGACATAGGTGTGCTATTCCACGGCCACCTTTAACTCCAGTCCGTGGCCTGGTAGAATTGGCAACGTCCCAAGTAGGGTTGTTTAGTGTCATACGTCCCATTAGATAACATGGCAGACAGGTGACATCAGTTCATTAATTCACACTTTATTGATTTAAAAATTTCTGAACATGAATTTATTAAAATATTGAAAATCTTGAGGAGTATGTTTTATCTATAATAAAATATACAGAATTGAAAACCAAAACAATATGAATTGAAATACCCCCACCGCAGCAAACCTGCAGACTTAGCGAATTTTCATTTGCCTGATTGGATTTACACTAAAATGTCTCCTTAAAAATATCACATTTGTTCCCTATTTAAACAGAATTAGTTAAATGAGTACCTAGATTTGCTGCAACAGGGAGGGTAAAAAAGTTTTTGTTTTAATGAAAGGTACTTTGTTTAGTAAGAAATTAATGTATTTTCCAAATTTGATTAAAATATGTTCATAAACAAGCAAACTACAACAGTTGACTTATTCTCCATAAGAATAACATGGGAATTTAAAATTAAAATTTTTTTTATTTTCTCCGTAACAATTAGGCGCATAAGAACGCTTCAATAAACTAAATTATTTGTTTTTTTAAGCTCTACAAAATGGTTTGGAAATAAATTGTGAAATTTTGCGTTTTTAGGGTCAAAAATGGGAAAAATCTATTTTTACCCCATAAAACCCCGTTAACATTGTCCGATCATCCTGGTTCGCGAACTCATTCAAGTTTATCCCACCTTACATCTTCAAACCAAATTTGATCAAAATCGGACAAAAATTACTCAAGCTATCGTGCGGATGGACACACACACACACACATATATATATATAAAATATCTATATATAATCTATATATATATATAGATATATAACAATTTGGACGAATGGTGTTTTTGGCCTCTGGGGACATCAAAATGAAAAAGTAAATCGGTCCCGGGCCTAGGCCTTACCATGAGACCTACTTTAATAGCTACTTCCCTATAGGGAAAATTCGCTAAAACTATATTTGTACATAGCGGAGTCATTTTCACAGTCCAGTAACCAAGCTTTCGTAAATACACAAATACCATTTAGCTGCTTCCAAATAAAACAGCAGTTACAACCCTACTTGCGACGTTGCCACTTCGAAGGCCGTGGCCTGGAGTTAAAGGCGGCCGTGGCTATTCCCGTCATATGAAACATCTTATATTTTATTATGTTTTCGGATAGAACATGCAATTTAAAACTTGTTTGTTATATTGACATTTATTCTATAAAGCTACTCGTTTAGGAGTTACAGCCTATGAACAAATGGCTTCCGGTGTACACTTTGCATCATGTAGCTCCTTACAGAGTATGTTTAGAGAAAAATTGCTAAGAGTAAATAAGTTTTAAAATTGAATCTACATTCCAAAAAGACCATAAATACACAGTTTCCACTGTTCAGGTTTGCTGCCATTTTGCAAAATGGCCACTATTTTTGAAATAATAGAAACGAAATTTGTTACGTTCTTTGTGGAATGTAGATGCAATTTTAAGACTTATAAACTCTTTAAATTATCGCTATAAACCTACTCATGATGCAAAATCAAAATGTACACCGGAAGTAATTTTTTCATAGGCTGTAACTCTTAAACGAGTAGCTTTATAGAAAAATTGCAAAAATAAAATAGTTTTAAATTGCACGTTCTATCCAAAAACATGATAAAATATAGGGTGTTCCATAAGACATTTTTTCATAGTTGACCACCATATTTGAAAATGGTGGCTTAATTTAGAAAAAAAACTTAATTCATATTTTTAGCTGCCACGAAAAATAAAAGAATGTCCCCATTTAAAGTTTTCTCTAATTCTTACCGTTTCCAAACTAAATGGTGGCTTCCTTGAGTTGATTACCCTGTATATTTGTTTAATTCAATTGCTATTGTTTTTATAATTTTTCTAAATGGTGAAAATGGGGTTTGCAATCTGGGTGACGTCAGCATATGATGGGAGTAGCACACCTATGTTTTTTCCTTCCAAACCATGCTAGTTGACACTTAATTAACTTATAAAGGGACCATATACAAGATAAGTTGTATCGTTGTATGCGTTATCATGAGAAGTTTGAAAGCCACGCAAAGCCCTGATGATGAATATTGTTCTAGTCCAGTAAGGGCGATAAATCTAGTAAATAACAGCAATTTATGTGTCTATATATGTTGGCACATTTAGAAAAGCTGTAATAAAAGTACCCGTTAAAACTAAGTTTGTGTAGTAATAAGTTTACGCAACGATTGCGTAAAGGTAAAACTTATATGAGTGTCGTTATGACTATTTACGCGAATTGCGTACACTACTTTAACTGCAAACTAAAATTTGGTCACTTGTATGTTACAAGACTATTTCAAATGAAGAAGAGGAAATCTCCTCATTGCATCAAATGTGAACTAAGCTAGACAACTTGAAACAATAGAGCACATCATTACAGAGTGCCCAGCATGCAATAAGAAACACATAAAAATTTACCATGTCTGTCAAGATCGTTTCTTACTTAAGGGGTGATCAAGCCCTTCCACAAGGAACCGTTTCACTGCAATTCCAAATTAGTCTACTGAGCAATTTTTTTTGTGCTCACTTTTGTGTTAGACAACCATTGCCTGGCCCACACACTCCGGCTGTTTGCGCAATACAACCTTCATGTGGTCACCTGACGGAATCGCAGTACAGTTATGGAACCAGATAAGTTTAGTCTAAAACATGAAAAGCACTTTAAACTAATTTTAAAACAAACTAAACTTCGAACAATCTAATTACGGACAGCTAAACAAAATAACCATTTAACATTGAAATATAAAGCAATATTAAAATATTTAAAACAAAGCACCTTAAGAACAAATAAACCAAACCACAACTAATTAAAATACGTGACGGCTACCTGTTTTAACGCCCATTGACGCTGTCCCATGCTACACACTAAACCTTATAATATACTCCATATCGCAAACTACTTATCTTTTCTCTTTTCTGACATATTTGTAGGCAAACATTACATCCGCGCACCTTATGTACGTTTATAATAGGTCACTCCACCTCGGTAAAACAACTTTTGAACGTTCGTTAGGGCTAATGTTTAATCCTCCTAGGTTGCGACTGGTTCCGACACGCTTCCACTGACCTATTACCAATACTACCGGCAATAACCAAAACTGGGTTTTGGGCTGGTATCCATGATATTAAAAAAATATGGTTAATGACTGCCTGACCGTTACAATTGGTCATTCAAACTGGAAAACATCTACCCACACCAACTTAAAGTTATTAACCTCGGTATAAACTCAGAAAATTAGAAAAACAACAATCGTTTCCTAACTATAGCATTTCGAAAAAGCCCGGGAAAAATGTCTAGAACAATCGTGTTTTAAGGTAAAAAGTGTGACTACATGGCAATTTAACGAAGCCAGTTTTGCAAACTAGAATAAAAGAAGAAGAAGAGGAAGACTAGCAGACAAACAAACTAATTATCTACCACCTGACTGACTGATCTCCTCTCCTCTCTGAAAATGAAAATGTCAACAACAACAGTCCAAGTCCAAGTCCAACGACAACAAGAATATCTACAGAGCTTGCAACGTTTTTGCTAATAACTTATCAAGTATCAATTTGATCAAGTTAAACAAAATAGTTCTTATTGCTGACCAATACCATTACTGTAACCCTCAATACAAGATAGATCACAAGGGCAGTGTGTTGTTTAATTGAACAAAGTTAGATGAAACTGAATTGGAAACCTAGCTGCAGTAGCAGTAATGTCAAGACCGCGTAATTGTTTGAGTGCAAGATATGATAAAACTACTTAACAATGATGGTTTTATGTTTTATAAGTTTTTTTGTCAGTCTCTTTTGTTTTGCTGATATGGGTGGTGAGTAATTTTACAGATTAACGCACCATAGCCTAGGCCTAGTTTAGGCTAAGCCTTAACCTCAAATTATTTTAACCCTTTCAGTTCTGTGCCATCATGCTATTCTAATGGGGTACATTTTACCTTGGTATCTAATTCTGTGATAACACTTTGGGAGTTCCACTATTTTCCCCGCCGTCACATGATATATATCTTTAATTTGAGCCCTCTCTCGTCGTTCTACGACTTCTCAGTCGCCCACAATTTTGACACAAAGAATCGCCTTAATTAATAAAATATATTAGAGGTCGTCCAGTGGTCGAAAATTCGACCAAAAATATGTAATGTACGTACACGCATTGACTATTGGATACTGAAGTAGACATTCCATCGATGTGGACCAGCTCTTGCCATTTTTTTTTATAAAAAAGAACATGTAGTTGTGTGAGCCAGTCACAGAATGTGTGTCTAAAATCATATTTTCTACCTTATTTTGTCATAATAATAAGTCATTCCATAAGTTTGATTTAGTAAAAAAACATCGTGTATTCGACAGAAATTAGTCATTTAGATCAGCGCAATCTGTTGGTGGCTCACATCGATGACGACAAATTTAATTTAAAAACTGGCTACAACCTTAACATGGGGATGTAAGTCAAAGGAGTATGTTTTATCTATGGTCAAAGGTCCAGACTTCTCTAATTTCAACCCACAATGTAAATAAAACATGTGATTGTAATTTGTTCCATTTGTTTTGTTTTTCTGTTTATATTTCGTTAACGTTATTTTGTCACCAGCATGGCACCCCACAAAGCCCATGTTAATTATTTTGTAATTTCAAATTCATTTTTTGTGCTTATATTTGAGCCTATTTTAATTTTTAAAGGGATTCTGCACATCTACAGGAAAATATCTTCCTAACAGTATGCGTAGATCTTTCCTACGATGCGCGCGAGCTGAGAAAAAAGGTTTTAAAGAAACATGCTTGCCTATTAATATATAGATAGATAGATGGGTAGAAGATATCACTATAGTGACTATGAAACCACTATGTGTTGGTGAAATTAAAGTTAATGAAAGAAGATTTGTTGTAAACTCTTTTATTGTCTTACAAACACAACACTACACTGAATTATATTTAGTAAACAACTTCATATGTACAATGTAAAAACATATGATGGTCCATCACTAATCCAGACTAGATGAGTTGGGTTGCAATATTCAACATCCCCCCTCACCCAACTTAGCTAGGTAAAAGTCCTAGGCACTTTTGAAATTTGTGATGTTTTGGTTCGCTTAGTCCTTTAGTAAAAATATCAGCAACCATGTATTCTGTGGGTTTGTAGTTCAATTTTATTTCTTCATTTTGTACTTTTTCCCGTTTTTAGCTTTGCTACCGGAGCAAAAGTTTCATCGTATAGTAGTCAATGCCTGGTTTTTGTGCAAATCCTTTTTGCTACCAATCGTGCTTTTCTTCTTTCTAGCTCTCCATTTGGTTTTAGTTTCTTCTTTAATACCATTTTACAACCAATTACATGAATTTCTTTGTTTCTATCCTCAAGCACCCAAGTTTCATTTTTTAAATGAGCTTTTATTTCCTCTTTTATTGCTTCATTCCATTCCTCTGAAGATTCTAAAGTTGAATCTTCATTGCAGGTAGCTGACATTTGAAAATCTTTTGTCCAAAGAGGAGGTTTTCTTTGCCTTTTCTGTGATACCCTTATTTCATCAGTGTCTAAATGTTCATTTGAGCTTAGTGAGTCATCAGGTTGATTTTCAATATCATCTTCGAAAATAATATCATTTTCCATTTCACTGTCATTTTCTTCAAATATAGTGTCAAAATCAGACTGGTCATCATTATTTTCGCTCTGTTCGATAGGAATAATGCAAAAATCTTGATCTTTTTTATCACTTTCTTTTATTTCGTTTTGCTCAAGAAGATTGTAATCATTTACATCTTCATTTCTTTCATAGTACATTTTTGATAGAACTTTTACATCTCTTGCAATTTTAACCTGCTTTTGTTGCGGCATCCAAATTCTGTATGCTTTTGAATTGCTTGCATACCCCACAAATATTCCTTGATCCGCTTTCGGGTAAAATTTTCCTTTTCTTGAAGCTTTGCTTAATACAAATACTTTTGATCCAAATACTTTCAAGTGTCTTACTGAAGGCTTTCTTCCAGTCCATTTTTCATATGGCGTTAAGTGTTCAGTAGCTTTTGAAGGGCATCGATTTCTTATATAGTTAGATGTGTTAATAGCTTCAGCCCACATACATCCTGGTAGATTTGATTCTATTAGTAAACATCTTGCCATATCCAATAATGTTCTATTTTTCTTTCAGCCAAACCATTTTGTTGCGGCGTGTATGAAACTGTTAGTCTTCGCCTTATACCACTTTCTTTCAAGAACTTGTCAAATTCATCATTAGAATATTCTTTGCCGTTATCTGTTTGCAGAAACTTGATTTTATTTCCTGTTTGATTTTCCACCTCATATTTATATTCTTTGAAACATTCAAAAATTTTGTCTTTACTTTTCAAAAAATATACATAGCAGTATCTTGAATGTTCATCAATGAATGTTCCAAAATACTTATTTCCTCCAGGTGTAGTTACTTTCATAGGACCTACAATGTCAGAATGTATGACTTCTAACAAGCCTACATTATTTGCAATCTTTCTTGATTGAAATGGTGTTTGTGTCAATTTTCCTTTAATACACGTTTCACATTCTCCAATTTTGTCTTTCATGTTGAAGGTTAATCCATTCAAAGATTCATTTTTTAAAGCTGTTTTTAAGTCAACCTCGTTTAGATGACCTAACTTCTTATGCCAATCTATGATCTCAGGTTCTTTTGTATAGTTTGATTTTTCATTTACCATTACAGATTTTGTACTTTTGACATAATAAAGACCACCTTGACGTTCTGCTGCCACAATTACATTTCCTCTTTGGTTTTGGACGACAGCTTTCTCTTTTTCAAAAATCACTTTAAATCCTTTGTCTGTTATTTTACTGACACTCATTAGATTTGTTGCCAAGTCTGGTACAAATAGAGTGTTATTCAAATGTATGATTTCAGAATTTTTTAATTCCAGCGAAACCGTTCCTGTTCCAGAAACGTCAGATGTCTTTCCTTTAGAAGCAAGTTTCAAAATTCCGTTTGAATTTTTGATATCTCTGAACTGTGATTTCTTTCCACACATGTGCGATGTACATCCACTATCAATACACCAATCAGATGAATTAGAACCTAAAATGTTCAAATTTGAAGAAAAACATTCAGCCTCTGCTTTAAAACTATTTCCCATTTGTTTGGATCTACAGTTGTTGGCTTTGTGTCCGATTTTTCCACATCTAAAACATTTAACTTTGAAACCTACTTTTGTAGTGTTGTTATCATCTTGTTTCTTATGACTATAAGTGTTGTGAATACCTTTCTTGGAGTTGAACTGCTTTGTTTTTTTGTGTTTGCTTTGTTAAAATGGAAAATAATATCATTTTCCATTTCACTGTCATTTTCTTCAAATATAGTGTCAAAATCAGACTGGTCATCATTATTTTCACTCTCATCCACCATTATTTCTTGGAGGTATCTCTCAAAGTTGTTAGGAAGTTCCATGTAAACTTTTTCTTTTATTTCTCCATTTAGAAAAGCAGTTGAAACGTCCATTTGATCAATACTTAGATCATCTTCAACAGCAAGTCCAAGCTAAGTTCAATAAGACTTATGCTTGGACTTGCTGTTGAAGATGATCTAAGTATTGATCAAATGGACGTTTCAACTGCTTTCTTTTCTAAATGGAGAAATAAAAGAAAAAGTTTACATGGAACTTCCTAACAACTTTGAGAGATACCTCCAAGAAATAATGGTGGATGAGAGTGAAAAAAAAAAAAAAAAAACTATTCAACAAAACAAAGAAAATGATTACTGACTTAAAAAATGCTCAAAACAAAAAGGTTTGTCTACTAAAAAAGGCAGTTTATGGTTTAAAGCAATCAGGAAGACAGTGGTATATGAAGCTTGATGAAAAACTAAAGGAACTGAAATTCATTCCATCTCAAGCTGATCCTTGTATATACATTTCAACAGTAGGTGGATGCAAATCAATAATCTCTGTATATGTAGATGACATTTTAATTGCTACAAAGAACCAAAAGTACCGCAATTACATCAAAGCCCAGCTCATGAAAACTTTTGAAATGAGAGATTTAGGTGAACTAAGCTATTGTCTGGGCCCATAACCTTTGTTGGTGAAATTAAAGTTAATGAAAGAAGATTTGTTGTAAACTCTTTTATTGTCTTACAAACACAACACTACACTGAATTATATTTAGTAAACAACTTCATATGTACAATGTAAAAACATATGATGGTCCATCACTAATCCAGACTAGATGAGTTGGGTTGCAATATTCAACACTATGTATAGCATACTACCTACTGAAGTTTTCTAATATCCTACTTTAAACACTGTTTTCAGCAAATAACTTACACAAAATAGAAGGTACCAGTACAGCAGAAATAGTTGGAAGTGATGTTTTTTTTGAAATTATTGAACCAGAAGAGTTGAGTTATACATATAGAACACGCCCAGCTAAAAACTTTGGACCTGTGTTTGTAAGTAAGCCCATTGAGCTTAAAAATTAATTGACCCAGCTTTTGACACAGTAGCCGATATTTACACATCTCTTCTATAGTGGATGGCCAAATAAATTTATTACTTTTAGATTTGGATACATTCAGTCCAGTAGTGTAGTTTTAAATCCTACTGTACTGTAGGCTAACGCTTACAGTCTCTTTGAAAAACATGGGTCGCCAATTAATGTAATGGGGTTATAGAACAAAACAGAGTGGGAAAGCCGTCCCTGCCGCCACTAGGCCACTTATTCAGTCTAGCTTAGGGTTTTGGAAAGATAAAACAATGTTTGAGCAATTAATTAAAGGCTCTCAGGGAATTCTGAAGGCCGTCTAGCAAGTAACTAATACAGTAATTGATTGTTAGTGTTGTAAGGCCTTATTCTATACTTTTATGCTCAAAGTTTTAAACAAAATTAAATGTATTAACACAATTCAACAACACTTAGATTAACTTATTCCACTTTATGGTCGGCCCCACCACTGCTCTGGATCCTTGCAAAACTAAAAATATTATACTGTCTATATTTAGTGATATTAAAATAAGATATTAATTAATTTATCTATAAAGTAAAAGGGACGATTCGGGTGTTATTGCGAACAAACACAAAAACTGCTATGGGCCAAGTCTTTACTCTCCTACATTTCAATTTCTTTGTTTCTCCATTTCTACATTTCAAACATTTTGTGTCTTTATACTTTTTAATGCTTCTTTTATACAGGCTGATGTATTTGTTTCTAAAATATGGGATCAAAAACGTAAAGTTATAGACACAATATACAGATTTCCAGATTTTAAAACTAACACTGGTACTATTAAATGTTGCATTCAAGTCTTATTACCTGTCAACCATCTTACAACACTTCTCATTTGGTGTTTGTTGTGAATTTGAATGAAAGATGAGTGTAAAATGTTTTGTAGCCTACTTGAGTGAGTGTCAGAAGACATTTGAAAAAGCTTTGTGTCTGATTAAGACTAAATGATTCTTTAGCCAGGATCAATGATTAAAATAGTAGTTTACGCAGCAATTGCGTGAAGATAGTGTTAACGACACGAGTAGAAAATTTAAGGCCTTGGCGAGTGCCTTAAAAACTTCTACGAGTGTGCACCACTCATCAATTAAATTGGCCTGAACAGGTGATTATTGGAAGTTTGCATCATTACAATTTTACTTCTTCTCTTTCAATCTCATTGGTCTGTTACCCATGTTGTTATGAGTAAAACTATGCTGTTATGAAAGTAAATAATGCTGTGAAACTTTTCAATTTTAAGAACTGATCTGAAACGGCTACTTTATAAAACGGTCGTCGGTAAAATCTGATAACAAACAGCTACGTTAGGTAGGTATCTACACTCCAAAATATTTACATACCTTTCTCAGGTCCAAACTGATAACAATATCATCAAGTTATCTAAAAAAAAATATTAAATTTTGATAATAATATTTCCAAGTTCGTGTAGACAACTGAAAAGGCATAAAAGTAATTAGCAGTAAAAGTAGACTTATGATTGAATATCATCAAGCTATGGCACACATAAAATAAATATATCCACAGTGACATGTGCATATCATTATTTGAAATATTGTTTGTATTTTAGGAATTAGGGTTTTCTTCACGAGTGATCCCACTTGTCCCCGTGGAGCCAGCTGACGGCTGTGGATGGCCTAGCAATGCAGATGATCTCAGAGGAAATGTGGTCCTGGTTGAGAGAGGGTGGGGAACTAATCTCAATGTTATGATAACTTTACATTTTAGGGTCAATTATTACTAAATAATATAAACTTAAAACTTTGATCAATGAAACAAATATGTGGAATTGTTATACTATCTCAAATATTGAGATGGCTTGAAAAAAAGCCTGCTAACTTAGTAGCAAGAATTGATAACAAATACAGGATTCTATGAGCTCCTCATGTATCTAACTGAGTAGTATTTGATGAGTCTTACTGCACCTAAGTAATCAAACTGTTACCAAAATTATCATTACCATTTGTAGAAACTCCTACATCTTCTGTAAGGTGTTATATTAATTTATGAAAAAATAAGTGCTGCAGTAGGATTGAATATATCTTGGAGCAGGCAAATACCCATTCTCTATACAATGCATTGGTTTTGAAGTGGCTTGTTAGGCTCTATGATAGATATAACCAGAAGAAAGTTGTAACTTACACTGTGATAGGATAGAGTTCAGCTAGTTTACTTGAGAAAGTTAGGAGTCTAGAGGCTATAATTTTTTTTCTTGTCCTAGGACGCTAGGCATGAGCCTGGAATTGTTTTTCACATTACTTCAGACTTCAGGCTAGACCTAGGGGATTATCACTTTGATAAAATCCATTGGTGACTTGGCGGGGATCGAACCCGGGACCTCAGGGACTGAAGTCCCGTGCTCTAACCACTACACCAGCTCACTCTCCCTAGAGGCTATGTATAAGGCCCCGGGTACGATACGAGCGGTGAGCGGCATGAGTGGGGCCGCTCTGACATCGGGTCTCATTTAGTTGCGTGTAAATCTGCTGAGGGTGGGCCACGATACATCTGAGCGGCGAGCGGAGGTAAGCAGCACGGCTCAGCGCCGCTCTTGTTTCCAAGTCAAAACCGATTTTCTCGAAAACGCCGCTCAGGTGAGTCATGCTTCAGTTCGGCCTAAAATGACAGCGAAACAGCAGCAAACATGCGATACGGGTCAATACGTGAGGTGCAGTCGAGGGAATTTTTGTGGAATGACCAGCACGTAAGTTTTAAACACTTCAGTCACAAGAAAAGTATGGGAAAAAATTAGGGTTAAGGGTTTTCCAAAAACTAAGTTTTTCTTCAAAGACAAACAATTGTCAGATAGCAACAAAAGTTGCAATACGTTTTGCAGGTAAGCATAGTTAACCATTTTATACTAAACTGACTCATAAAATTTGGGAAACTTGATGAGCGTTATAAATGTGCCGCTTGTATTGTAGCCACTACCGCCGCTTACGTGCTCAGGTTGCCGCTCACCACTCGTATCGTACCCGAGGCTTAATAGATACACAATAAAAAGCACAAAACACAACACTAACTATTTCATCCCAATATAGGACTTATTCAGAGAGAGAATTCAAGAGAAATATTTAATAGCAGTATCCTTTACTAAAGGGAAGAAACTGAAAATATTTGATAAACATAACTATTTTGGTAAAGAGATTTGCTTCATGGAATGTTGCAGGGTTTGATTTCCGTTAACGAAACAAAGGTGCTCACTGTAACCGTACCGATCTGTTCTACCCACATTATTTCCAGACTTGTAATATTAACTACATTTTAATTGTTAGTCAAAATGCAGTGTTTCGATGACGATTTGTTGTGTTTTCAGTGAATGCTCTTTTGTAAGCAAGACATTGAGAGCGGAGCAGGTGGGTGCAAGCGCCATTATTATAGCTGATTATGACAATAGAAATGACGAACTTTACATTGAAATGGTGGATGACAAAACTACAAGAAAGACACACATTCCAGCTACTTTTTTAGTTGGCAAAAATGGGTTAGTATGGTAATTTATTCAGAAACCTTGTTGCATGAGTTTGCATGTCATAAATTAATGATGATAGTGATAATTAACTAATTAGGTATACAATTATCTCTTATTTGACAAACTTTACAGGAGTGTTACAAATGTCTTAAAAAAGATGTGTTAGTGATTCAAAGCTCTGAAAGACTATTTCCTCCAAAATATAGTCTATCTATGTGCTTAAATGGAGGTATTAAGGGTGTAATAACGGCATGGCTCACAGGCGCTGGGAGTGTTTAGTTCCAGCGTTGGCCACTACGCGCGCGACGTGTACTAAACCTAACTCGAACAAGCCCGTGTGCGAGCCTCTCTTGGAGTAGGAGTGAGAGAGCGCGCGAGATGTATTTCTGTCTCACTTTCACCTCACCCAACGTTGCTGTTACCACTCCCGCTTCTGTTCTGAGCCTCCGCGGACCGCGGCCCATCTCGTTGGAAGACGCATCACTGTTGGTTGTTGTACCCCAGTTGACATTGTATACTGTTAATCCATTAACAAATATTCATTAAAAACGCTCTAAAAGTCTAAATAAAATATTGTTTTATGGGTTTATTTATCGATGATTATGTTAATCAAATGTTTTCCTCCATTTGTTATTATTTTATCTTTATGCCTTTGAAGTTGTAATCAAAAATATAAATAAGTTGGGATTTAAAACAAAAATCTCACCTTTTGAAAGTTGTACGGGACAAGCAAACATGGATTGGAAATTTAACAATATCTCAAAATCTATTTAATATTTTTTTTCAAAGGTTTAACAAATTAAATTTTTAATTATTTACTAATTTAAGTTATTGCACTAATTGACTAATTTTACAAAAAAAATTAACTTAAAATTCTAGAAAAAGTACCATTTAACTGTAATAGAACTTGACCAAGTTAAATCTTAATTCCAGGAAAAATTATTTTTATTTTTATTACAAGGAATGATTTAGAGAAATTGTATATAAAAACAATGTTTGAAGCAGTTTTAATCAACTCTAAAAAATAACAAAGCAGGATCTCTGAGAATCGCCCACTATTTGTTTTTCTTTCTTGTCTTAGCCATATTTGCTTCTTCTTTACGAGTTTGGGCATCTATGATGTACGCTGCATCACGCACACGAAGGTGCCGATTTATTCTGCTATCTACCATTTCTGGTAGAAGGCAATAGTTGTAGAAACGGATAAGTTTTGGCAGCATTGTTTTACTCCACAACTCACTGTCTATTTGGATTCTCTCAATAAACAAGTCATTTGTTCTTGTATATACAATAAAATCACACCAACTCCTCTTCGTTATGTTAAGTTGGCCCTGTATTTGGAAGAAATAGTTGTGCGATCTCTTTAACATTACTTTCCCTTCCTTTAACTCCATACATGTTTGGTTTTTTTTTAAAGACACAAATTCTTTCAAGTCTCCCCTTACCGATGGCAAACATTTCACTTCAATAATACCTTCACTGCCCACTATAAGGTCTCGCCACCCTAAGTTGAGGCAGCCCAGACGGACGGGCAGGGTCATTATCGGCCGGTCCCGCCCGACCCTTTATAATCCGATTAGCGACACTTCCGTGAACGCTCTAGTTACATAATTGTCATTAACGAAATTAAAAACCGATGTATAAATAAAGTCTTTAATAAAGTCGATTTAACAAACATTTCCGTTTTCGTCCCATCAAAATCGGACGATGTTTACGGTTTTTGGATTTTGGGATCTACACTACTATCACAAGTTACAATAACTGTTAAATTGTAATTTTTACGGTAAATGGGATTTGTACCATTTTGTTCAGAATGTAATGGACTATTAGATACTTAATAAAAAAATCTTTCGGGTCAATTTCGAGAAAATCAGATTTTATGGGGAAAATCCTCATTCAAAATCACAATTCCAAAAAAAAAATAAAATAAAAAATGTCTGGAAATACCACGAGTTAGTACCTACAGACCAAATTTCATCAAAATCGGACTACATGTGTGGTCTGTGGCTCTGGACACATAAAGACACACAGACATCACTTCGAATACTGTACCACTTTTTGGGTTCAGGGGGACCAAAAATAGATATAGGCCTACACTCAAAACTCAAACTAGAACATTTGGACGAAAACAATACTTTCTCCATATATGGGGAAGAAATTAAAAATGTAAATTTTCCAAATACATAAAAAAACATTTAACACGTTCGCTACTGCAATAGTACGAAATTTTGCATTTTGCATTTTGCGAAATTTTGCCGTCGCATATATGCAACGGCTAGTCACATTTAAATAGACTGCCGTCGCATATTTGCGTCAGGGTTCTAGTGTTACGAAAATGCTTATATCTTTGTAACGGTCTATTTGAAACCACTGAATTCCCTGCAGTGGTCTACAGAGATGTCTGACGCACTACTGCGTCGCTTGGTCTGTGGATATGATGATTGGTGACGTCATATGATAGTTGAAAAAACTTGCCTTTACTTTTCTGCATCACTGTGTGTATGTATGCAGTATGTATGCTGCATTATCCTATGTAGCTTTTATATTTATTCAGCTATAAACTGTTCTTGAATATTCTGTTTTATTTACTTACTTTCCCCTCAAAACAAAAACAAAAATGAGCCGTCGCATATATGCGACGTTTGGTCTATTTCAAGAAAACTATGATAGTTTTCACTATTGTCTTCGCTGTAGACCGGGCGTCGCAAATATGCGACATTACAAAAGGTTATAAAAAATACAAAAATTAAGTATTAAGATGTAAATGATCACTGTTTTACAGGTTTTCGCCCGTGGTCTGTGTGTACTGTTATCCAAGTGACAGCCGGTCCATGTGTAGGATTCATATGTATACCTCGGTCTGTGGCAATGACCGCGGCGTCGCATATATGCGACGCTCAGTAGCGAACGTGTTAAATATGATTTTATTCAAATAAAACTTACCTTGATGCCACAAGACGATCGAAAATTTCCTCGCTAGTTTCTTCGGAGAGATTTGAACTATTGTTAGTAGTGTTTACATCCTCGCCCTCGCGTTTCCGTTCATGGATTCTTCTAAGCACTTTCGAGCGTTTACTGCGTTTACGTGGTTTGTATTTACTATGCGGTTTTTTTGTTCCCATCGCACCTTTACAATACTAACAATAACCACAGACAAGAGAAGAAAATATCTATTCTATACTTATTTAATACGCAAGCAGGTTTTTTGTGACAATTACTCTTCCGAAACTACTAAACCGATTGACATGTTTTTGGTGTCATTGGAAAGAGCGTAACATGAAGTTGTGCAGGAAACTTTCTTTTTAGGGAAACAATTAGAGAGTGATGCCCTGGGGCCCTTTAAAATTTCGAATTTGTCCATAAGATTAACATGGAAAACAAAAATTGTTATGAAAATCCAGCTGTTGCCAGAAATTAAAAGTGAGAAGATAAACATATGTCAATTGTAAACAGTCAATAAGTTTGCTAATTTAACAGTTTGCTCCAAACATTTACTGACTTGGTTGAAATAAAATATTTACTATTTGAATTCGGGTTGGCGTAAATATTACGATGGAAAAAAGCGAGAGAGCCTGGATAATTTGACATACTAAAAAGAAAACTGAATTAAAACTGCGCTGCATTTCTTAGTAATCATTGAAAGAGCCGATCGATTTGCAAACTATGGAAACACAGGAAAGTCATAGAACACCACCAAGGAGACATTGCCTTGGAAACACTAGAAATAATGTTTTTTTTATAATTTATAATCGCTATTATGGACAACATAATGCGGCTATTAGTAAGGCTATTTGTAGAAAACAATATCAGCTTTTAAAAATGATAAAATATTTACAAGAAATGTTGATTATATCGATATTTTATGTAAATCTTGAGTATTTCTATAATCTTTGAATCAAATTTTTTGAAGTCATCAGAAATCATGAATGTTATTCGTTTTAAAATAATGCCTGTAATACTTAGCAATTGCTCGAATTCGAGCAACAGGTTAACTAGTAACTACAAAATACAAAACACGTGACCGGTGACAGGTTGGCAGCAGCTAGCTGAGAGCAGGTAGAGCGCGCGGGAACCAGGGTAGACGCGGCCGGTGCGGGGGATGAGGAGGGAGGGGTGTGCGCCCGCGCGCCGTGAGTGCGCGTATGAGCACTGTACACACTCACATCGCACGCCAAGCTGGTTTTACGTGATTTCTGTTTTCTTTCCAGTTTCTAAACGGTTAAGAATTTTCCATTGGAGTATTTTTTTATACATTCTGTACATCATTGGCTTTGTTCTGATATGCGTCTTTTCTCGATTCATTTAAAAATAAACCAGTTATCGAATTTACAAAAAAAGGTACTTTTTTTATTTATAAACGATATGGGAAATAAAATGTTTTAGCTTGTAAAGATACATTTTTTGGAATTTTTAAGAGTAGTTTGGTGAATATAGTCGAAACCGTTTTTGAGCTGGAAAGCAAACGGAGTTAGCACTTAAAAGCCCCATAACTCTCTTATTAAGCCACTTAAAAATTTCAGGTGACATTTTTTCTTACACTTATAATGACCTTAACAATTATACTTTAAAAAATAATAGTATTTTATTTTCGATCGAACACCCTTAAGCAAGAACTATTTGACAATGTATTTGACTGAAAATTGTAACACATAATGAACATTATTCGTCCAGTGTAAAATTTCCTTAGCTCACCAAACCTTTCAAAAACTCTTGACACTAATAACAAATTACAATATGAAAGCTGTAAAACTTGTAAAAGAGCTTAAAAAACAACCTATTCAATATAACGTGTCCCGTGCTATTCAGCTTGAGATGGCATGTGATAACATGTATTTCACAACGTTGTGTTGGGTAGGGACAACAATAAATGCTTGGAAACAAGATGTGTCAAACAGAAAACAAATTTTGCACATCGAAAAAGTGTAAAATGGTTACATAAAATGTAAATTTGTAGAATAAGGAGGATAGAAGCCGCTTACCTTGGAGAAGTGCAGGTAGGCCATAGAACATATTAGAAACACTGTACACACATAATTGGTAAACTCTCTACCACTTCCTCTACCCTTGACATAGTCCTCCAGGGGACGAAATATTGTGTGCATAGTGTCTCTTCTTTATGTTCTATGACCTACCTACCCACCTTCAAGGTAAGCTAGCTGCTGTCCTCCTTGTTCTACAATTCAAAATCCTGGTCTAGACCCATTCCTTGAACAAAACATAAAAATAAAAATTTAACAAGTATTTAATATACCGACTTTACATTACAACTTTTTTTACTCGTTCCATTCACCATGTCTAATTTTATTTTATATAGATACCTTTTGGTAGGATGTGTATGTACTGGGCCGTATTTTTGAATAGGCGGACTAGGCTCGCACCTAAAGCGGCAAATTTTATGGGGCGGCAAAACTTTGGAAGATAAATACATGTAATCAAAAGGGAGGTTTTAATCTTTTAAAAATGCTTAATGTTGAGCAATAAATATTGAGAACTGCAAAAATGCCATTTTAAATACTTAGACAGAGTAAAAAATGATTTCAGAACACATTTAAGTCAAAATCGATCATTTATAATACGGCTGTGCTGTTTTTTCCGTGCTGCCCTGCAGTCTGGCGGTCACGTCGCGGCTCACGGGCGTGGGCTGCCGGCCGCTGCGTAGGCGCACCTCCCTCTGCTTTATCAGATGTTGAAGATAGCTTCTTTTCGTACAAATCGTATATTGAAAATGCCAATGCAAGACTTGAAAAAAAGAAAACTCCAGCTAATGAGAAAAAAAATTAAACTCGAACTTGAAGCCAAATGTCCAAGTGAAAAACCTAACAAAATCCCTCCGTTAAGGCTTTTGAAAGAAATTGGAGAAAGAAGATCTTCAATCAGTTTCAGTTTGTCCAATTGTAGATGTGGCAGATATTAGCAAGCACAGCGATATCAAACTGCTCTCCAGAAAGATCGTTTTCATGCCTTGAAAGAAAGGGCATACTATTTAAGCAGCCTATCTTCTGAAGAAAGACTTTGTTAACTAGCAGTCTTAAATATTAAAGGAGAACTAACTGCTGAACTCCCTGGACTTAATTTGATCAGTTAGTGATTCATTTTCTAATATAAAATCAAGGAGAAAAGTGTGAACTACTAATTTAACTCATGCAAAATTGTAGCCTATGTTATTCGTTAAAGTAGGATCTGCCATGAATATATTAATGCTTATAACGCTTTTCATTGAACACTTTTAGTCAGATCCACCGACTTTTTTATACTTACTTTATTTATTTTGATTCACTAGGTTTTAAAATAAAACAGTTAGTCTTTGTAAATAAAAGTATTTATGATTGTATATCTGACTAAAAGTTTTCAATGAAAAGCATTATAAGAACCCTTGTATACGGACGTTTTTGTGTGCCATTTACGAGCCGCAAAACATGTTTATGACTCTTCTGATTCACTGGATACAACAAGATTGCATTCCATGTATACAAAACAGAATCGCGTTTTGCATGAAATCGCCAAAAAAAGTTTGTAAAATAGGGCTAATATGTTATTAGATTTTGTTGATGCAGCATGCAATTGCCGATTACTTTTCTACAAAAAACAGCTGGCAGGGCATGTATTGGGGTAATCTTAGTGTGGTCGGTGAGCGCACTGACAAGGGTTGGGGAGGGGCGGCTAACTTTCGCTGCCTAGAGGCAGCATGTAGTACAATACATCCCTGTGCTTGTATATACCTTAACTCGTAGTCACGGCACCATCATAAACATGTCCCATCAACTCAACCCGCAGTCACTACGCCAGTACGATTGTCGTTTTTATCATTTCCTGTGTTATCCAATCTTGCCGCAGCCTGTTTCTGCCAGATAGAGAGTCTACTGTAGTAAAATCAAAATCAAATGGAAATTCATGTAGTCTATAGGTTTACTTGGTTTGTGTAACAGTTATGATTTTACAATAACATAATCAAACAAAGCATCTTTTGTTTTAGGTATATCATTAGAAAGACTCTGCAAAAACTTCACTTAAAGCAAGCTCTAATAAGGATTCCACTAAACATGACACATATTCCAAGCCACAAAATGCGACAACCACCTTGGGTTCCCTGGTAAATAAATAAACTGGTTTGTACAGTAATCTGGTATTAATTTTATTTGTTTTCACCTTGGTTATGAATTAAATTTTAATATATTTTTAAAATTATCTTTTTTACACAACAGGGCCCTGTTTCATAAAAATACTAGTCTAGTATTATAGTCCATGGACTAGTATTACTAGTGTATTTTACAAGTCTACGTTTCAAAAACCTACTAGTGTAAGATACTAGTTACTAGTGTAGAGACTAGTATTACTAGTGGTTTTTACTAGTGTAGACAGCAATGTGTTTCATAAAGTTTTACTCTTATAAATTACACTGGTAAATACTTGCCATTTTCTAACAACCTCTCTACACCAGTATTATTTGAAGTAGACTAGTATTTTTGAAAAGAGAGTTATTTCATTACTCACATCATAAAAAAAATGAATTATTGAATTCTTTTTTCAAGTGCGAATAGGCTCAAGTTTGCAATTTAAGATAAACATAGATCTGTGAGTGCTAAAATGATAATTATTAGATGTAAATTACAATCAATAAATGTGGCGTAGTACAAAATGAGCGAAATTGAATTTTATAATGTATGTACAATCGCCCTATTAGAATAATTATAATTATAAGTTATAAATTTCTGCAAAATTTTAGTCTAAGTTTACTTGAGTTAAATTTCATGGTTATATAAACTATTTAGTTATCACAGATAAAAGATTTTTAATCTTTGAGAGAAACCAAATTAAAACCTCATACCGAATTGCATACAAAGATGTACAAAAATGTATCCAACATTGCAACATTAATCAGATTATTTTACACCCAAGGCTTTCGGTTTTATTTAAAGACATTTTAATAGGAAATAATAGTAAGACAATTTTAAAGAGGAGTTTTATTGTATTTTTTGAGGTGCTTATTATTTGCTTCCCTAAATAGCTAAAACCCTGTGATGTACTAACAATTTTGTAGGCCTATATTTGATTTTTGGGCGTTGAACTGAACTGCTTATCATAAAACATTACTTTTATTCCATTTTGGTATTCTGAATTTGTTATTCAAAGTAATAAAAAAATTAGATGTTGATTAGAGCTGTTATTTAAATGTAAAAACATGTAAAAGTTTAATTAATGGAACAAAAAGTATAATGAATGGTGTGGATTTGAACCAGCGACCCAACACATGAGAAGCGGAAACTCTACCTCGAGCTACGCCCTGCAACAGCGCCTTTGCCATGTTTTACTATACTTGAAACTTACTAATACTTTACTATACTCAAATCTTGAATATGAAAAGTAAAAGTTTTATGTATGACACCGTATTTCTCAATGAAATTACAATAAAGATTCAATAACTACAACATTCATTCAGAAAGTTAACTAAATCTAGCCGAAGAGTATTAGATATCAGACTAGTCAGGGAAGTGACCTGTGTAATACCATTAGCTATTTTCTCAAAACTCACACTAAAATTAGCTTTACTTTTGCTGACCATCTCTTCTATGATACTTCCAGCAAAAATAAAAAGAACGGCGAACAACTCGCTAGAACAAAATTGGTGGTTTTAGGAAATTTTAGTTAAGTAATTTTGTGGAGATAAAGAGCTCTTATCCACCTTATTTCGAACTGTGAAAGTTTTGAATTTTATTTTGTAAGCTCTGTAGGATCTCTAATATCTACAAGGTTGTGTTCTGAATATTATTTTTTCAAACGATCTTGGAATTGACAATGAGATGTACACTTTGTAAGTACAGTATGGGTATATTCTATTCAGAAAAATGAATAATATACATGTTTACTTCACTTTCACTATTTTCATAAAAAAAGTACCATAGTGCCTGAGTATGTGCTACATAGGTTTATCTGACAGAACAAGTTGTTATTTAAACAGGTGTTCACAATGGTTTGATGTCATGAAATAATTTGATCACTCATCTATTAGTGCGGTGCAATTAGACCTAAACCTCAACATCCAAGCGTTAGAAATGTTCATTTTCAATCTATTGTAACTATTTACTTTACAAGATTAAGATTATGAAGAGGACAATAATTCTTGTACAATTTATCGTAGGTTATTTTTGTAAATAACATATTTTGCACTAAACCACAGAGTATGTATTTTTTAAACATTTTTAAACCCAAAAAATTGTTCAACTTTAAACCCCCCTCTCTCCAAACCCAATGTTCAAAATGGTGTAACTTTAAACCATACAATATTGTATTAAACAGTTTATGGTAAAAAATTAGCTTTAACTTTAAATGTTGGGGATAGGCAGTTTTTTTGCCGATTGCACTGTAGTATATGATTCAAGGTGTTTTTAGTCCTCTAGGTTTTGTACTCATGTGTGAAAAATGAAATATTAAAATAACCTAATTCGGAGCAATCTAGAGCTTAGAAAACTTCTGGTTGTTTTGTGAGTTTTTATTCAAATAGGTTCATAGTAAAAATAAATTACCCTCAGATTCCCGCCTTGTTTTAATAATGGCTCAATGGTACGCAACACATTAACAACTTCGGTGTTATGTGTATCGTGGAAATTTGATTAACCATATATTTTTTTATCCTGCACTGCAAATAAAAATACTCCTGCCGCAGCAAACCTGCAGATTAAGCGAATTTCCAGTTGCCTGGTTAGATTTTAACTAAGATTTCTCTTTAAAAATACTAGAGGAACCATGCTGCTCCGCAGCGTTAAAATAAAAATAATCTCCAAGAAATAATCAAATTTATGATTTTTGATTGAGTGCTGGTTTAATGAGTTTCATGGCAACAAGCCATAGTCGAAGAAATCCGACAATTCTGCATCAGAAGCCCCAAAAAATCGATTGCCCGACTAAGTCTTCAGTTAAACATACTTAAATCAACACTTTATGATGTTACAGTATCTCTGTAAAAGATAGTCTTTGTGCCTAAAAAGATTCAGTTAAGACATCAGATAAACCCGCCGATCGCCCTAAGGGTACAGACTTAGCCAGTTTTATGCTCATATAAGATTGATTAAAATCTGAATTTTATCAAACTACTAGCTGGCCCGACAGACTTCGTCCTGTCCTAATGTGGTTTTATGTCAATGCTCGTTCATTTTCTAGATGAGCTCGTTCGCATGGCTCAATCATGTCCTGGTTAAAGTTCGTTCGCTACGCTCACTCACCTTTAGGTTGGAGCTCGTTCGCTACGCTAACTCGCCTCCAGGTTGAAGTTCGTTCGCTATGCTCACTCACCATTTGGTTGCAAATTAGCTGTTGTCATAAATGAAGAAACATAGTGCTGCACCCTGTTGGTAAACCTATTACCTTTTTAATGCTATTGAACATCACAGAATCAAATTGTTTAGTTCATCCAGCTGTTAAGATTCTTTAATTCCATTTAAATATGAGTACTCATAAGGTTAACATGGGAAACTCTAGAGCCACTGGGGCGGAGCCCTCTTGACGGATCTGCATCAAACTTCACACAAACCATCCTTGAATAATGCTTAATAATGCCTGAAAGTTTCATTACAATCTGTCGAGCGGTTTCGGAGTCCATTAAGGACAAACATACAAACAAACATACATTGGATTTTATATATATATAGATTCCGAATTGTATCAAACTATGAGAAAAAGCTTTGAACTTTTATCTTGAATAGTCCCCGAGCAACAACCGTTTAAAATCCCGGTTTACTTTTATAAACACCATGTACTATTAAACAACAACTACAAAATCATTTCTGTGCAACAGTTCTCCATCAAAAATCAATCATCAAATCTCCATCAAAACATTATAGTGGCACGGTTAGAACACTCACTTTTGAGTGTAAACCTCTAGTGGCATGACACTAAAAATAGCGCGATTCAGTGGCAACACATCTACATGCTAGTGTAAACCTAGCTTTACCAGCATCATTTGTGAACTGAATGACACCATTTGCAGCTCTGTAGCTGACATGTATACTTCGCTGTGTGTTTTTAAAATCTCCCGTCACATGTGAGAAAAGGGCAGTGGTAAATCTTTTACCACTAGAAACATATCTGATGGTAAAAAAATAGTAGAAATAAGTTAGAAAACAGTTTTAAGTTCTAATATGAATCACTTATCGACACTGTTCAATGTAGGCCTACTGTAAATGTGTGCTACGGTGCTAAATGAATAAAGATTGTTTGAAATTGAATAAAGATTGTTTGAAATGAAATGTAATACGGCCTACAAGCAAACTAAGGATCTATACGCAAAAACGACCCTTCCTAAAAAAATCGCCCTGGATTTTAGGGTATACATTTTTATTTTATGAACACAGGCTAAAAGTCTTGAAAACTGTTAAGCATTATGTTTATTTAATTTACATCAAACAATATACATTTATCTTACAGCATATTTGAAATATACATTAATCTTAGGATCTAAACACTTTTTAAAACACCAATAAACGCTAAAACACAAATTATCGTGCATGGTTATTTGCTGCAGGTAAGCAAATAGACTGAACATTATTTTGAGATTCTAAAATCCTAACCACATTACTGTTGATGACACTGAACATTTGTTGATTACTCTCAACTATTTTCTCCAACGACCTGCTGATCTTGGTGAGGGAATCTCCCAGCTTGTCTACTGATGATGTCAGTCTATCAACAGACTCTCTCAGGTGCTTTAACCGGTGAGGGTCGCTCTGGGTGTCGTACCTACAACACAAGTATTGACTGATTTTACATTTGAAGTAATTATCAACTTACTTATACCGACAAGTTGTTATGGCTGAAGAAAAGATCTGAATGTAATGTTAGATTTACTTTGTGAGACAGGAAATGTAAAGAAAATAGATACGAGGGTTGTAGGTAAATTAAGTCTTCATCGTGTTCCTGTCGTGGTCAAGTGAGCTAGTTTAAGTATGACACCAACACAGTTTTCTTTACTTCACCCACTACTATTTTAGCCAGTTTACTATATACTACAATCGTTAAAGAAAAAAAATCAAAGAAAAATAAACACTCCTGTTTGGTAGAATCTGGTACTGCCATTGGGTTTTTGTGGGAGCAGGCGTCGATCCAGATTTTCAAGATTGGAGATTTGGGATTTGATTTTTAGGATAGTCAGTGGATTAGTAAAAATTAAAGTGGTGGTGTCAGATCTTAAAACTAGCTTACATGCGACACAAGCATTTTAGAACTCAAATTTACATAAAATTTGAAACTGTTAACAACATAGATGTGTTGTGATACTGACCCACTGCTAGGAGTGTGGGTAGCGACACTGTCCACCGTAATGCTGGGAGAACATGACACACTGACAGGTATGGAGACGCTGCCACTGCTCAGGGGTTCCTCTGCATCAGCCCCTACTGGTAGCTCTTCTGAAACACATCAGGAACTCTAGATGAACCAGGTTGATGACCTGTGGTCTGATTGTGTAAACAAAGATGTCCTGGAAGTGTTCATATAAACACAAGATTGCTTTGCATTCAATAGCAGTTTCTGTGAATAAAAGACCACTGGTGTTTAGGAGGGTCAGTCAGGCATGGTATTCAGAGTAACAGTGAAAGGTTGGCTGAGAACCGGTGGCTCTGTCTTAGGGTCGGGGCCTTCAGTAAAGTCCCATCTATTTGCAACAGCTGTACTCAGTTTTGATTCAAAGAGAACATAGTCACAAGGAGTTCTACATGACAAGTTATATTTTTCGGTACTTGATGCTATGACTGTAGCCTACTATGATCGTGTGCTATAGTCTATGGTAGGCTATACAGTAAAAAATAATTTGTCCTTTAAAATAATTTCGGCTGCTACATAGTGTTGTGTAGGCCTACCCAGAGTTAAAGGTGTAGTATAGTAAAGTACCTAACCATTGACTTTTGGATACTGATGTAGATATCCCATCTATATGGACCAGCTGACTCTACTTTTCTCTATAAAAATACTGTTGAGTGAGCCAGTCTTAGAATGTGCTTAAGTCTAAAATTATATTTTTCACCTAATTTTTTGTTAATGAGACTGGTGCTATAGCTTACAATGAATCGTTCTTTGAGCTTGACTTGGTTCTCACATTGGATGCTGCCCGCTGGTAATCCCATGCCTGTCCGAGGTTGCAGAACATGGGATCCCCCGCAAAGTGTAATTTAAAAGAGCGCAATCTGTGTCGGTGGCTCATCTAAACTACCGGTCCCTTTGTTTTTGATTTAAAAACTAGGCCTAGCAACAAATTTAACATGGAGATGGAATGTCTAATTGTATCAATAGTCAATGTTAACCTTAATGTTAAGTAGGCTACCTTCAATATGTGTTTGACAGTGACAGTAATAATAAATTATTGTTGGTTTTCATTCCAGTTTTTTAACCAGATAAAATACTTTGTCCTAATTATTGTTGATTTTAAAGATAACTTACTAGGCCTATTTACTTCTTCTTCACTCAAGTGCTTTTGGATGTCGTCCGGACAGGACATTCCTCTTTTTAAAATACCTGGAAAAGATGGAGATATTTCAACAAAGCATACAAATATTTCATCAAAATATCTAGCACTTATATGAGCTTTAGACATAGACATACTTTATTTGCACAAAACATTCCATACATCATAACATTTAGAATAGATGCATTGTCAAATTAAATCCATACATAAAATATTTAACATTTAAACTTAATAACTTATATTGGAGATATTGGCAATGAATAATGAAATGTATTACTAAATTTAAAAGTTCAAAAAGGCCAATATATAATAAATTGTTTTGATCTATTATACAATACAAAATTAATAGATGTGTTTAGAAATTCCAAATTAAAAAAAAACATAAAAATCAGAGAACTACCCATATTTCAGAAAAGAAAAAAAAGAAAAGAATTGGATTAGTATAACATACAACTCAAAATTTGCAAGTAATATTAAGAGCATTTTCAAGAATAAAACATCACAAAATTTAACTTTCAGACCTATTAACCAACTGAAATAAAAATTAGGCAATCCTAAAGAAAAACCATCAAAATTTTACATGTCTGGAATTAGTGATGTAAAATTCCCGGGAATATAATATCAAGGAAATATTCCCAGGGAATATTGCCGGCAATATTCCCAAAATTCATAAATTCCCGGGAATTTATTTTTAATTAGCAGGTTTAAGGTAGTAGGTTTAAAAACTGTTACTTAATAGTTAAAAGCCATAATTATAATGTTAAATCAACCACAAAAACTTAAATATATTATAATACAAAGTTTTAATTGAAATAAATGACTGGGAATTTATAATTTTATAAGCTAAATTGCTCAAATCGGTCACTGTGGTAGTTTGTTTTAAATGAAACACAAATAATCTATTTTCAAAAAATGTTGATTTAATACAACTAGTGTACCTATTGCTCGAATTCAAGCTATTGCTAAGTATTACAGGTGTTATTTTAAAACAAATAAAAGTCATAATTTCTGATGACTTTAAAAGATTCACCTCAAGAATTATGGAAATACTCAAGATCTATATAACAGATCGATATGATCAACATTTCTTGTAAATATCTTATCATTTTTCAAAAGCTGGTCTTGTTTTTTAGTGTTTTCTACAAATAGCCTTACACATAGCCGCATTAGGTTGTCCATAAAAATGATTATAAATTCTTAAAAAATATTATTTCTATTTCTTCTTCTTGGTGGTGTTATATGACTTTCCTACGTTTCCATAGTTTGCAAATCGGCTCTTTCAATTATTACTAAAATGCATGCAGCACAGTGTTAATTCAGTTTTCTTTTAGCGAATTTCCCTATAGGGAAGTAGCTTTTACCGTAGTTGGCAAGGTAAGACCAACGAGCACATAATATGATAAGACCTGGAGCCGGGACCGATATACTTTTTCGTTTTGATGTCCTTAGAGGCCAAAACCACTGTTCAAATTTTTATGTCCGTAAATGGCATGTATATATGGCGGACATATGTAGCCTATATGTCAGTGAACGTGATAACTTGAGTAATTTTTCTCTGATTTTAGTGATTTTGATTAAATTTGGTTTGAGCATCTATGGCGGGATAAACTTAAATGAGTTAGCAAACCACGATCGTGCTGGTTTGGAAATAAAAATATTATTTGAAAAAAAAATAATTTAGTTTATTAAATCAAGACTACATATTAAAAACAAAAAGGTTAGATGGGAAATACTGAAAATGACATATTTGCTTTCCGTATTAATTTTTATGTTTCCTAGTCACTGTCACTTTCTATGTCAATTATATTTCCTTCGTCCTTCTCGTCATCTACATCTCCAAATCCAAAAAAATTGTCTTCATTGTTACTTGTCAAGTCAATCTCATCCTCATCCCCTTCTTCGATTGCGAGAAGGGACAGGATGTCTTCATTTTCTTCCTGTCCTGTTTCCTCTGGGTTGCCTTCTGCTTGCTTACTCTCAGCATTGGTTGAGCATTCATGAGTTTCCAGTTGTAAGAAAGAACTGTCAGTTTTGTTGCTCACTCAGATAAAAGTCTGTTTCTTTTCTTGGAATGCAATAATTAAAATCCATTCAGTTTCATAAATTCAAATTTTTTTTACAGAAATGTACATGGAATGACAACTCTTAGACTTAAATGTAAGAATTTACTATAGGTAACGTAGTTTTAAGGTTCTTTAACCGTCAATATGGGTTAAAACGTTCATAATTTTAAAATTTTCATAGATTCCCAATTTTTGGGAATATTCCCAGTTTTGGGCCAAAGAAATATACCCGGCAATATTCCCATTTTATAAGTTCCCTCCCACTGGGAATATTCCCGGCCCACATCACTATCTGGAATATATGAAATTAACTCTCTGGTTCCGGCACTTTTCGCTTCTTGACAGCTCTTGTATTCCTCCAAAAGTGCTGAAGCTGATGATAACACTCCTTGTGGACACCAACATTGCAGCCAGGGCACCAATAGGTAGCCTTTCTGCCACACACAGCACAAACTCGATTCGAATTATTGGGCACTTTCTCCATTTTGTGTGCGGTGTCACCTGCTGGACCTGGAGTCGGAACTTCTCCTGATTTAGCCAAGGTTTCTACAATATTTACATAAAAGTCCGTTCTGGCTAATGGCTTGTCTGTATTTAATGAATACAAGACATATGAATTAAAAAGAGCGATATCAAGAAAGTTATAAAAGATCCTCTTCCAATATTTTGTTGTCTGTGGGTTACACGATAAGTAATAGATTGATTTGTCGCTGACATCCACCCCTCCCATCCACTGATTGTATTTATGAATAAGGATAGGCTTTACTGCTTCTTGACCTTTTTTGCTCTGGACAAGCTTGTCTTCTGCGTGGCATGCAGAGGTCAAGGCGAAAACTGGTTTTCTTGAAGCGCTCTGCCGATACGAAACAAGAAGCACCTCTTCGTGCCTAAAGTAAAGAGTTTGTCCAGCTTCTAGGGTACTATTTTTGATTGTTTCTGCAATGTACTGTGATCTTTTGTTGATAGTTCCAGTGAGGAAAGTGTTCCTTTCATGCAGCTTCAATGCCAGAGGTACTTATTGGAACATTGACAATTTTGCCTCTGAACTGTTTCAATATCATATGTTTTACTTTTTATATTAAGCTGTGTTCATGTTTATGTTTGTGTGATCAAAATAAAAGTGTGAATTCCTTTCTTTAATATATTTTGTTTCTCATTAATTTAAAAGTTTATTCTTATAAGTAATCAACAGAAAGAATGCCTTGGACAAGTACGTATCAATAGGTTATGGGCTATTCAACAAATAAGGTATTTTCTTTAAATTACTTTTAAAGAAGCTATATAATATTTTCTTCATTGTTTTGCCATTGTAACTGTTGAATTTTTTTTTTCTTGGAGCAAGTATAAAATTGGTTAGACATTATGGCAAATGCTAATGAAAAGATATGTATAGAGAAGCTTTTGGGTGCAAGTAATTGGACTAAATGGAAGATGCTTATCCAGTTGTTGTTAAGACAACAAGGCTTGTTGAGTTTCATAATGGAATCTGAAGTAAGACCTATTACTAACATCTCTGGATCTGAGCAAAATGCTATTGCAGATTGGGACAGAAAAGATGCTTCTGCTATGTTATACCTTATGTCATCTCTAGGCGATGAACCATCTACACTGGTTTTGACTTGCTCGACTTCTAAAGAAGTTTGGGATTGTTTAATATCTGTGTATGAACAGTCTAGTGAACAAAGGCTAGATCGTTTGCTAGAAGAGTTTTTTAGGTGGGATCGGGATCCTAATGAGGACATAGCTACCCATGTTGCAAAGCTTCAAAAACATTTTGCCGAATTAAATGATGCGCTTGAGAAACAAACGGAATCAAAGCTTAGTGATAGAGTTTTAATTGCAAGAATTTTATCTACTTTGGGGCCAAGCTTTCGTGAATTCAGAAATGTATGGGAAGCTATGCCATCTAAGGATAGAACAATTAAAACACTAGTTGAAAAGCTTCGCACTATAGAGCAGCGTGATAACGTGGAGTTACTTAAAACTGCTTTATATGTTTCAAAACCCATGGGTACAAGGGTTAAAACAGAAAAACAAGGGCAGAGTAATCAGAATCAAAAGCAGGTTACTAAGATATTTTGTTTTAAGTGTAAACAAAAAGGGCATAAGGTTCCTGATCAGGGTGTCTACTACATTCTGGATAAAAAATTCATGGACAATTCCCGTACATTTAAGGACCTTTGTCGGTGTGATTACAGAATAATATTCCTGATTTGTCAAACTGTATTAATCTTGTTCTTCATGTAGTTGTTCCAGAGAGAAAAGTAAATAATAATAGACAAGAATTAAATTTCAAAATAGAAACTTATTGAAAGTAAACAAACATAACTTTAGGTACAGCTTTTATAGTGAAACAGAAAAACGCAATCATTGTCTCCTGCAATAGCGACAAAATCCTAAATATCTCCATCGGTCACGGAAACATCATAACATAGCTTATGCGATCCAGGCGGATTAATTTGGCATTATTCGCCCTGGCACAACGTTCGGTTCTTGACTACTTTTGAAAAAAAAATCTTTAATGCATAATGAATATATTGTAACTCGGTTCTAGGTACAAAATCGGTATGGTAAGCGGCTACCAGTGAGCACAGAGTAAGATTATTGTCTTTTCATCTGCAAAGTTAATATCGACACATAGCAATCATTAGTTTATCTTAGGCTCAATTACATTTTCTTAGTATATTTTACAGCACTTTCAAAGAATCAAAATACCCAGGCCTAGGCCTAATTATTTAGGAGGGCCTATATAAACTGAGTAACAAACAATGAGGTTATAATATCAGCAAAGTCACTACAATATCATCATTCTAGTTCATAAGATTTAGATTGCTTAAAGCATACAACGCAATAAATAAATATGGGAAATAAAAAAAATTGAAACCTGACCGCCAACAATGTACAAAGATACAGAAAATGCAATTACATAATTTGAAACCAAGTAGGCCTACGTAGTGATAAAAATTTAATGCAAACAACAATGCTTT